CTGTGCCTCCACCCCCACATGCCATATCTGAGGTTGGCCTTCTGACTGTGGAGCCATGGCAGGTGCAAAAGGAACTGTACTGACTGTGGAAGCAGAAGGAAGGCCCTCCAAGGTCATGGTCTGGCTCTGTCCTTGGAATGTGTTTCTGATGTCAGGGCCAGGACTCTGACCTTTGCTGGGGTCATCTAGGCAGCATGGTAGGCAAGTCGTGAGCGGAGCTGGCTGGAGCCAGAGGTCAGACTAGATGGCCCAGGAGGCCCCTTCTGACTTGCTCAGTTTCTGTGTTTCTATCTAGTTGCCATGGGATTTGCATGTTAATAGCAAAGGACTTTGGATGCAAAAAGGTGCAATTGAATTGATGCTGTCATGTGCCATCAAGTCATTGCTTATGATTATCAGCATGTTTTGTTTTGTTTTGTTTTTGCTGTTTAACCATTTCTTCTTTGATTCCTGCAAAAAAGTTTTCAGTTTTGTCTACAGCTTCTGTTGTTGGAGCATAGACCTCAAAGACAGGTTTTCTAAGAATTCTGATTGATATTACTCAGTTGGACTTTACATTATATGCTCTTCCTGCCTGTGATGTATCTTTCCACACTGTTAGAGCCACTCTGTTTTTTCTGAGTTTATTGAAGCACTCTGTATTTGTCTGACTGGCAGGTCCCATGCCATTCCACCTTAGTTCACAAATGCCAAATACTGCAATGTTCAACTGTTCCATTTCTTGCTTTATGCTTTCTAGTTTGCCTTGATTCGTACTTCTCATGTGTTGTGCAGCATCAGACTCTGTGTATCTCGGCCACTGGACTTCCTTTCAGCTTTGATCTAGTTGTGTCATTAGTGACAGCACTTTTTGTGCTTGTCTTCTCTTGAGGAAGTATGAGGAAAGATAATCAAATTTGCAGAGTATTTTGCTATTTCAAAACTGGGTGGAATAGCAAACACCCTAGAAGACAGAATGAAGACACAGGGTGATCTTGATAAACTTGGACACTGGGCTGGAAGCAACAGAATGAGATTCAGTAAGGGCACGTGCCAAGACCTCCACCTAGGAAAAAGAAACCAATTGCATTGCTACAAGAGGGGGACCGTGTGGCTCAACAGAACTGAAAAAGAAAAAGATCTTGGAGTAATTGTGGACAACAGGCTAAACATGAGCCAACAATGTGGTGCAGCCGCCAAAAGGGCACATGCTATTTTGGGATGCATTAACAGAAGTATTACTTCCAAATCACGAGAAGTAGTAGTTCCTCTATACTCCTCCCTATTCAGACCTCACCTGGAATACTGTGTCCAGTTCTGGGCACCAAATTTAAGAAAGATGCAGAAAAATTAGAAAGGGTCCAGCGGAGGGCAACAAAAATGGTCCAGGGTTTGGAAACACTGCCCTGTGAGGAGAGACTGAGAGAACTGGGCGTGTTCAGCCTTGAGAAGAAAAGACTGAGGGGGGACATGATATCCCTCTATAAGTACCTTAAGGGCTGTCACAAAGAGGAAGGTCAAGATATCTTCTTGCTGATGCCAGACTGGAGGACATGGAATAATCAAGTCAGGCTGGACATCAGGAAAAGCTTCCTTACTGTCAGAGCAATATGGCAGTGGGACCAGCTGCCTAGAGAGGTGGTGAGCTCTTCCACACTGGAGACTTTCAAAAATAGTCTGGACAGCCATCCGAGTAGGATGGTGTGCATTGGTGTCCTGCAACAGCAGGGGGTTCGACTAGGTGGCCTTCGTGGCCCCTTCCAACGCTACTATCCTATGATTCCCTAATAACTGGCTGAGTGCTTTCTAACCTGGGGGTGGGGGGTGTCTCATCTTCTGGCACAATCCCCTTTTTGATTGTGGATTGTTTCATTACAGGTTTACAAGGCCAGCTATAGAGTGCTAGCTTGAGCATGGCTGCTGTTGCTTGTGAAATCTCATCTGCCAGTATCACCCTCAATGCCTGCGGCTGCCCAGTAGCTGCTGTACAGAAGTGTCTCTGTCCCCCTTACCTTTAGAGCGATCCATTCTCTCTTGCTGGTTTGACCACTGCACCTGAAGAGGGTGGAGGCATCTTAATCTGGTGCCTCAGCTTTGACCATTCTGCCTTTGGAGCCCCTCCCGAGAGGTCAGTCTGGCTTCCTGGCCAGGTTGCTCTCACCCTCTGAGACACTCTCAGATCTCCCCATAACGTTAAGATGTGCATCCAAGAGCGGAAATTGAATTGATACTTCACAGAAATAGCCACAGCTTACTGCTTTTTCAGAAGGAATCTTAATAGCATTAGAGGTGATCCAAGACCTTGGTACCTTTTGCCAAGCATCTTGAGAGTTGTTCATGAAAGGCATCATATAATACTGCTGATTAGTTTAAAAAGCAAAATAAAAACTACAATTAATTCTTTGGCCCTGAGTTCAGTGCCTGCTGTCATAGCCACGTTTAGCTTTTTGGAGAAATGACAAGCCATTATTCAAGGCTATTAAAATGAGAAAGCTACCCAAATTGTTTGTCTTTTTAAAGCTGTCACAGATGGAATCTGTGCCTTTTGAAAGAGGGTTGCAGCGAATCAATACTTGCTCTCATTGGTCCTGCCCCAGTGTTTGGCGAATGCTTTCTAACTGTGCAAATTTAATGAGAGCTTTCTGTATTTGACAACAAGCAAAAATGGCCAAGCAATTTTCTGTTGTGATGAACCGAGACTTCGGCCAACCAACCAAGTTCAGCTTGTGATGAACGTTTTACGGTTTGCAAAAAAAACAACAACAATGCACGGCCATCGGCAGCATGTTGGGAAGGAGCCTAAGAGGTGCCGAGGCAGAGCAGAACAATTTCAAGCCATTTAGTTGGTGTTTCTTTTGTTTGCTGTGATGTATCATATCTGTCAAATCTCTAAGCTGTGTAAAGAGCTGAACAAATTGGTATATCGGCGATCCTCATAGATGTTCACACATGATGGGGAGAGTGGTGGTTCAGCACATACTCTTTCTCCCACCTGAGAATATGGTTCACAGGAGGGGGTCACAGGACCAGCAGCTATGCTGTCCGCTTCCCACATGGGCCCTTGCTGAGGGCCTCTCTCACATCGCAGGCTTGAATCTCATGGGGAGCCTTCACTTGGTTCAGGTTTCCCGTGCTGTTATTTCTGACCCCCAGTGGCTGGGTTTCAGGCTAGGATTTAACCCGTTGATCTTGGCTTTCAGCAAGAATGGAGCTTTCGGATACACCAGTCCCCAGGAAAGCAGTCTGTTGGCAGCTTGCATTTGTTGTGTTTTTATCATATGACTTGACATTTCTGTATATCTGCCTGGGTTGTCAAACACTTTGTTCTTCTGTTTATATTCTGCCTTTCCTCCAAGAAACTCAGCATAACTTCCCCCTTGCAGCATCCTGTGTGGAAGGTGAGGCTGAGAAATGGCTGCAAGCGCGCAGGGGCTGGCTTCCAGATCTTCCTTGCTGCTGGTCCAGTATTGGATTCCAGCCTTCCCCAGTCTAGTGCCCTTCAGATACAGTGGTATCTTGGCTCACATACGCCTCAGTTCATGACCAAACTGAGACCAAATTTTGACTCAGGTCGTGAACTCCACATTGGGTGACAACCACGATTGCGGCTGTGTTGCCGCACGAACATGATTGTGCCCGTCTTCCCTGCACAATCATGCTCTGGGGGAGAGGGGGTATGGCCGCGATCGCAGTTGCGCTCATGCAGGGAAGACGGGTGCGAGCATGGTCATGGTCGGGGGTGGGGGAGGTGGCCGCGATTGCACCCGTCTTCCCTGCACGAGCGCGACCCTGTCGCACCCATCCCCCCCCCGCGAGCATGCCCGCGATCGTGCCCGTCTTCGCTGCATGAGTGTGATCATGGCCATTCCCGCCCCCCCCCCCACAGCACGATTGCAATTGCATGATTATGGTTAGGGCTCTCCCTTCAAACTATACCCGCCCCCCCTCCAGGTTAGTGTTCTCTACTGTACTGTGTTTTCTTACTTTGTTTCAAATTTTTGTGATTAAAAAAATATGTACAGAACGGATTAACCTTATTTACATTGAACCTTATGGGGGAATTTGACTTGGCTCACGACCAATTTGGGTCACAAGTAGAGTCCTGGAACAGATTAAGTTTGTGAGCTGAGGTACCACTGTGTATTGAGCTGTAGTTCCCATCATCCCCAGTCAGCTATACTCCCTGTCTAGAAGACGCTAGGCTGTGATGATTGCTCTAACTGCTACCCGGCCATGGCCCTCTGTGGGTCTCCTGAGAGCTGGTGGTCTCATCTTGCTGCACTGTGGGTGGTCTCTGGCTTTGCTTCTCTCTACTTTGGTTCCCCTTCCTGTTAGCAAATGTTGCTCACCAGCGGCACTATTAGATTCAGCAGTGGGGCAGGTGCCCAGTGAGGCTCCCCCACACAACAGAACCTTCTCTCTGGAGCTCCTTTCCACTAGAGGTGCAGCTCTCTTCAACACGGTTTTCCTTCAGGTAGCAGCTGAATACACACTCATTTGTACATATTTGTTCTAATTATGTTTTTTGGGTATCTTATGTATTTGAAACTTTAGAACTGTGTTTTTAGCAGTGTTTATGCAGGAATTCATACTGTACTTTTAAGAGATAAGCACTTAAATCCTCCATGTGCCACAAGCAAATCTTGCCAGTTTTGCTTTCCCCACATTTGAGTGTTTAAATCACAAGGTTTTTTTTCCCCTTTTGGTTGATGAAGATATGTTAGAAATTTTGGTAAGTTCATATTTTAAAAAACAAGACTCCCACGCATCCTTGTGCAGGGCAGTAGGAAATAATACATAATGCAAGAGGAGACTATGTGGACAACTATGGGAATTCATGCAGGGGTCTAAATTTTTGCCTTCCTTAAATATAATGTTATGGTCTCACAAATTGGACTTGGCACCAGATGCATCAGTGTCCTTTCAATCTACTTGTGGTAGTTCAGAACACATTGAAAAACCGAGGCTTGCCATGCATCAAGCAAGGTACTAGCTGTTGAACTTCACCTTTCCTTTTGCAGGTTTCTCACCTATTCCTACCTCCTGGCCTTCAATGCCTGGCTTTTGCTGGCTCCAGTTACTCTGTGCTATGACTGGCAGGTTGGGAGCATCCCTTTGGTTGACTCCATCTGGGATGTGAGGAACTTTGCCACGTTTCTCTTGGCAGGGGTGATGCTGCTGCTTGGTCTGCATTGCATAGTGGCCTTCAAGGTGAGCAAGCTTTTTCCACGTTCAAAAGTGTGTGCTGGTGTACGAATTATGATGCACTAAGGATTCTGTTTTGCAGTGATGGAGGAAGTGCTTCTGCAGAGAGCAGAGAGAGGTACATAGCTCCTCCCTTGCAGCAACCCCATCTCAGAGAGAAATCTTATTTGAGCAGCAAGTGAGGCTGGATCCCAGCTATTTCATGTTGATTTGAATGGAGTTACAGCCAGAAGTCCCTTTCTTCCTGTGAATGGACCAGAGCAGGAGGAGTCAAGCCCTCATCTTCCCCCCTCCCTCCCTCCCGTTTCGGACATAGTTGGTGGTTTGGAAATGAAAACACAACCAGATGGGGACCATTCCAAGTATAAGCTGTTTGTACAAAGCAGTTCTAGTGATTTTCAGTGTTCCATCAGAGCCCTTCGTCCCCCACAATCCCACCCCAGAAACTGTGAAAATTGGCTGTGGCCACCCAGGGAGCCTCTTACACAAAAAACTTTGCTTGTGGAGCAATCTTTGCTTCGTTGTATTTTCATGTCTCTTGCTGCTGATTTGTTTACCCTGATTAACAGGGATTCAGTGTTGCATTCCTCTTTGTCAGAGGAAAAAAATCTAGGCTGCTGTGAGGCAGAAAAGTTATTTTTAGGTGGAAGAAGGTAGTCACCCTGATCTAGAGGCCAGGGTGTACTTCTGTGAGTGTATGGGATGTGGGCCATCTCATTCACTTCAATAGAAGATCTAGAGATTTGTATGCAGGAATGCAGCTTTGGCTTCTTGTGTTGAAATAAAAGGGCAGTTTTTGCAGGCAGTAAAGCTTGTGTATATATCTAGAGTTTCTTCCCCCATAAGAAAATATAAGTTGATGTGGTCCCCAGTTGCATGCATACAACTCCATGACTGTTTTCTGTAAGGCTTCACATGCGTCTTTTTATGTTCTGCTTCTGCACTCCTTACCCTACTATACTTTCCATGTATAATGTATAAACTGGAAAAATACAAAATTCTTGTTGGTCCTGGCATCTCCCTGTACCTAGACTGAAAGAAGGGAAAAGTTAGAGAGCTTTGGGAAGATGGGTTGTAGGAAAGCGGTGAGACAGGTGAGCTGAGGTACACATGACCCCAAGGGTTGCTGCCCTCTCATGTTGGGAAGACGTAGATTTTTTGTGATTCCACCTGTTCCTTAACTACCTTGTTCTCTTCAGTCTTAGTCACTGTTAAGTTGGCATGTGCCCATCAGTTTGCTTACAAATCTCAGCTGGAGCCAACTTCAGTACACAAAACTTCAAAGCCAGAACCCATTGCAAGAGTTACATATCTCTAAAGGAGCTTGTGGTATTTGTATAAAGCTGACAATTTTGACTACGCTAGCTACTTTTCGCAAGCACACTCGGAGTCTGCTTTTGGAGATGCAACTTTGAAAAAGATGAACTGTATGTGAATCTAATTGTGAATCTTTGTAACAGCCTAGAGGTTCAGAATAGGCAAGATAATACAGCTAGCGGTTAGAAATATTGCAGAGTTCTGCTCTGAGAGTAAAAGAGTTGCTTTTTCTTAGCGTTGCTTTTTGCTCATAAAGGAAAATACTCAGATGGCCATTCTGGAAATGGAAGAAAATACATTTTATTTCTTGATCTGAATGCCTACTAAGCCTAATGATGGCTGCAATAGTTTTGAGCAGCTGCTGGATCAGAGACAACACAGAAGCTCCAAACTAAAAAGAAAACATTGTTTCATCTCTCTTAATCAGATGCTCTCATTTTGTGGGCCTTGCACAGATGTAACCTTCCCAAACAAAAATGAAAGTCTAATAAAAGTTACATTCAGCTTTCCAATCAGTGTGTTTGCATCTGTGTATGGCTTATAGAAGGAGAGATGCATGTGAGAGACGATGTCCTGTTTTGTTTGGAGCTATTGTTTTTATAGTGTTAATATAGCTTGATATTGGAATCCTTTTGGAATAGGGAACAATTTATTCTAGCTGAATCTTGCTATCAAGGGTCTCTAGAATGAACCAACTTATTGTTTTGCTCTGTTTTCAAAGATGTGCAGACTTGCTCACTTGCTCTCGTTCACACTCTCTCTCTCTCTTTCTCTGTGTGTGTGTGTGTGTGTGTGTGCACACATTTGTGCATAAAGTTAGAAGATATATCACAGGGAATATAATTATAGCATATGCACACTGCATTGGTTCTTTTGTTATCAATCCATTTTTCAGTGAGTCTAACTTACGACCATTGTGATTTTATAATGGAATTATTGGAATGCAGGCACAATGCTGAGAAAGACCCTTAAGCTATGAAGTTTGGTGGTTTGCAGCATATTTCTGTATTTATAACCTAGAAAGAGCATGGGCTGATGACTTTGAGGCTGTCTTTCACTTCAGTTTTGTTCATACTGCTCTTGGAATGGGGCCATGTGCCATTTCACTGGAGAAAACGCAGCCTAGAATGTGTGAGCAGCTCCCCAGTGTTATCCCTTGGCGTATTTCAGGAAATGAGCCGTGCTCTTGCTCCTCGGTTTTCCCTTGGTCCCTTTCTGATGTATCTTTTCTCGTAACAAGGAAGACACTGCAACTTTCATTTCTGAGTATCCAGCACAGTCAGTCTAATTAAACCTGTTCCCAGAAGCCCCCTTATTGCCTGCATGTGGGTCAGAGTTCCTGCCAGAGGACATGACATTTTTCTTCAGTCTGTAAGAAGCAAAGAGATATTCCAAGAATTACTTTTTATTCTTGGGTTTCATGTTCACATTTAATTAGGTAAAATGTTTGCAATTGTATATTATCAAATGTTCCATAGGTAAATATCCAAATTGGAGCATTCCACTGGTTAAAGGAATTTTGCTTGGTTCATCATCTACTCCTTAATTTGACAATTTGTAGCACAATCCCATGATAATCCAGAAATAAACACCATTGAGTTGAATGAGATTTAGCCTCGAGTTCAGTATACCTAGGATTGCAGCCAAAGTTTAAATAAAAAAGTGAACATGGTCAGTGACTCATGAGTGTTTCTAGATCAAGGGCTCCTTGTACTAATAATAAAAAAAGGAATTATGGAGCTGTTTGGTCTTTTCTTCCTCTACGATAAAAGACAGAAGATGTGGAAGGAAAAATACAGGAGGGCTACAAATAGGAGACAACAATGTCTGGACTCTCCATAACATTTTGTGAATGAGGCAGTGCCTTTGTACACTGAAAGTCTCATTGGGAAGCACCCTTGTTCTTCACTACAATAATAAAGTGCAAGCGCCAGCATAGCTTAGAGGTGAGAGTGCTTGTTTATGATTGGGTTGTTCCAAGTTCAAATTCTTTCCTGGCAGTGAAATGCACTGCACAACCTTCAGTTTATTGGTATGTTTGTTAGATTTATATCCTGCTCTTTTTTTTTTTTACAATGAACTCAAACTGGCTTACATAATTCTCCTGCTGCTGCTCTCAGTCTTATTCCCACAACAATAAACCTGTGAGGTAGGCTGGACCGAGAGTCACTTCTTGTTGTTGTTAGTTGCGAGGTCGTGTCCAACCCATCGCGACCCCATGGACAACATTCCTCCAGGCCTTCTTGTTCTCTACCAACCCCCAGAGTCCACTTAAGCTCACGCCAACTGCTTCAGTGACTCCATCTAGCCGCCTCATTCTCTGCCGTCCCCTTCTTCGTTTGCCTTCAGTTGTTTTGGCCCCAATTCACCCACTTGGCCCCATGACTGAGCTAGGACTAGAACCCAGACCGCCTGAGTCCCAGTCCTGTGCTCTGAAGCACTGCACCACACTGGCCTCACAGCCTTATTGCAGGGGAAAATGGCAGAGGAGGAGGAGCGAGACTAATGCATACTATCCTGAGCTTCTTGGAGGAAGCGTGTAATAGAAATGTAATACATGCATTTTGTTTTGTTAAGACTCAGTGCGGTTTAGTGGTTTGAATGTTGGACTGGTACTTGGGAGATCTGGGTTCAAGTCCTCACTCAGCCATGGAGCTCCCTGGGTGACTCTCAGCAAGTCACTGACCTTCAGCCAAATCTTCCTTGGAGTGCTGAGGGGAGAATAGAGTGGAGAGGAGGAGAACCATGGGAGCTGCCTTGGGTTCTTTGCAAGGAGGAAACGATAAATGTACCAATGATAATGAAACAATAATAAGATAATTGTGCAGTTATTTAATGGCCCTCAGCACATGGGATGGACTGGATCTCTTCTTATGGGGACCAGCAGAAGTTCAGTGATCCAGGGTTGGAGATCCAGCTGCTGTAGAAACTTTGACAGGCTTTTGCATCTCTTTCAGCAGAGAAGGGGGAAATCGAGTGGATTGGTGGGTGAACCCAGGACATGCTGGGAAAGGGTTTGGATCCACAGGATTGTAGCCCTAATCCTGACACACATACGGCTCTGGAATTGGCATAAATACTGAGGGAAAGGCTTCAACAAAAAGGGATATAGAAATGCCACTCTTTCATCTTTCTTTTCTCCTGCTTGGCTAGAATGGCCAGGGATCGTGCTTTGCTGTGGGAGAAAATGAGAGCAGGCAGGGAAAAAACCAGGAGCCCTGACTTTGGTGAAAGTTTCCAAATGCATGGGGAATGTTAGGGTTACGGTTCAGCTACTAGATAGTGTTAGAGTTAGGAAACTATAATTCCCTGTATATTTCTGAAACCCAGAAGTCACTTAGGTGATGGAGAAAAAGCAATCTGTCAAGAAAGAACCCAGGAGTGCTGTGTTTGGTGAAACATTCCAAAGGCGTGGGAGTATATTGTGAAATTAGGGTTAGGGTTCTGCTACTGATTAGGGTGAGGAAACTATCTTGGTTCACATCTAATGAACTGGAAGTCACTGAGATGAAGGAGAAAAATGATCTGGCAAGAAAGAACCCAGGAGTGCTGAGTTTTGTGGAGGCTTCTGAAAAAAATGGGAGTATATTGCAAAATTAGGGTTAGGTTTCCATCACAGGTTGGCACACATACTGACGTTTTCCATGCCCCTACCCCAACCCGAAGGTTAACCCTGCTCCTCGAAGCCT